TCAGAATCTGATAGATGAGTGTTCTGACGAAACAAACAGCTGTGATGAGAATACTGAGTGTAACAATACCTTGGGATCTTACAGCTGTACGTGTAAAGATGGATTTCGAGGAAATGGAACTAACTGCACACGTAGCTATTTGTAATGACAAAGAAAAAGGAGAGGAATTGTTTACAACAATTTCACATAAGAAATCAATACTGTGGCTAATCTTGTTGTTTCAGATATAGAAGAGTGCGCTGACGCAAAGCACGTCTGTAATGCGAATGCTGAATAGAAGGATTTCATGGAAACGGCACAAAGTGCATTGGTAAGTTTTTGTCGGTTCAGATGTTATTATGTCCATAAATACAGTTTCAAATGTAAGATTAAAAGGTTTGGATCAGGTTGGGAGTGACCAATTCATTTCATATTTCTAGGAAAAGAATCTTAGGTAAAAAGGCGGGAGAAAATATTTTTTTATTCTAACTCTTTTTCGCCCAGCAGTGATCATTTGGTAAATTCCTTTTGCAATTATAACAAGTACTTTATGGCGGAAAGTTTGTTTCTTCTATACTACATTTTGTCTTTCTTTAACCCCACGAAGGATAGCCACCTGCACGCAACGGCAACTCAAATTGTGGGGAGTCTTACTAACCAAAAATATTTGAACACCATATCGAATGAACTTCATGTCAGTAATGCTTGTTGGTTTTGCTGTTTTAGATATCTCTCAGCTCGGTGGCCAACCGAAATTTCGGTTTCGCAATAAGCCAACCACGCCGTCAGATTCTAGGACGGTCAAGGTATAAATTTAGATGTCAGAAAAGAGAAGAAATTAAAGTAACACACGACAGAGAAAGATTCTACTCTTTCATTTCTCTTCGGCTCCTTTTATTTCAGCTCATAATTTGCATCGGGGGCGTCATCACAGGAACATAACTATTAATCAATACGAGAAGATACCGGTATCCGGTCTGCGTCATGTATCAATCTTGAAAATCATTTTCTTCGTGCCTTTTTTTAAAGGCATTTTTTACGGCCTTCGTGTTTACTTCGCTGCAATCTGTGAAGCGTTCTTTAGAACTCATTTCCGTCTTTGTTTTCTTCACAAGTCGATGGATAATATTACCACTGAAACTATCTTCCTAATGTTTTTGTCGTCCTTTCCAAATTTAAACAGAAAGGCGCCCCGTGGGGCTGAAATCTAACACAATAATGGATTCTTTTTCCTCTGTCTGTCGCTATCACTGGATTGTAAGCGAGGTAGTCATTAGTGAAGTCGGAAGAGAATGAAAACCTCTGTGTTCTTTCAGGTAACAAGAGTTTTCATGAACATTCGATTCCGTCAGTATAATTTTCAGGACCTTTTTT